AAGAAGATTGGTGTGGATTGATGCACCAGCAGTGCCCAGGACTGGGACCCTCCTCAGCAGCGCAGTCTGCARGGAGCCAGGAGCAGCAGAGCGGGGAGATGAATCAAGAAGCACCCCTTGTAATTCACCTTGATAATCAAAGCACTGCAGGCTCTCAAACTACAAAAGCATGTCCACTGTGAAATTCTGCAGTGGTGCCTGGACCTGCCAAGCTGTCAAGGGTGATTTTTGCTCCTTAGTGTTTCCCTCCTTCTCCAAGCGCAGAGTCCTGTGAGAGGCAGTGAACAAGAGCAGTGTCAGCCTGTGCCAGTTGCCTCAGAACATCTGAGCCTGGCTGCATCAAACCCAGCTGCCTCTCCTTTCTGGGAGTGCCTTCCCTCTTGAATTTTGCCTCTTGCTCCCATCATTCCTCAGAGATTTCTCCACACTCTGCTTCCCTTCCTTGGTTACTGTTTTGCCAGGCTTTGCAATCTATCCTTTTTTCCACACAGTCATCTCTGGATAGCTTCTTCGCAAATGATAAGATTAAAAAAAAAGGTTAAAATAATGTAAAAAAATAAAATTAGGGACTTACCTGAGTAAGAATTCACTTCAGTTTTAAAGTTTATTCTGAATTCAATTCTGCTCAGGAACTTGCTTTTAAAAAAGATTTTATAAAAACTTTTCTATGAGTTTTTATATGAGCAAATTACTTCTACTCTGATAGAGTCTTACATATTCAATTTCATGTTTATGAGTCACTGCKCTTGAAAATTTTGAGCAAATATCATTATCCTGGTCCCTTTCCCCCACTCTGGATTGTCAGCAACATTTTGGACTTGGTCTTGAGAGACCACCACAGTGCTCAGTCACCCACAGCCTGCTGTCATGTGCTACAGAATTCCCCTAAAATCTTCTTGTGTGAATTCAAGCCCACCTGGAGTTGCCAGGCCCTCCACAACCCATTCAATCCCTCTCCAATGCCTCACATCCATTAACATATTCTGCTTATTCTCTAAGGGTTGTCTTTCTCCTCTATCCATGCACAGATTTTCATCTGAGTAACGTCACCTCCTTCAGCTTCGAGAAATACAGCCCAGAGCTTCCTCTGCTCTGGAAGAACATGGATTGTTCTTTCAGCCCAGCACCTCATCTTTCTCTTGTATCCCCTCACTRGCACCTTTTTCTAAGGTACCAAATATTACCTGCCCTTATTTGCACATTTGATGCATGAATGCACTTATCCTACMTTTTCTTGATTTCTTTTATTAATTAGTGAGGAGGCAATCTCTGTCTCCAGATTTTCCAGWAGCAACAGAACTTTTAGAAAATCCACACAGTTAAAGATAATTGCTGTAACAAATTTCATGTAATAATAGCTGGATAACAGTTTTGATATCTTTCTTCAGTAACTGTGAGAGTTGCAAYAGCAACTGTYCCCCTTTCTTAGGGGAACAGGACAYTACAAAGGCGTTGACAATCTGACAACTTCCAGTGCAAGTTTTAAATAGCTTTGAGAACTTACAGTTTGTGCATCTCTTCAATTCAGAAATTCATTGTATTCCACAGAACCAGACAATGTTTGCGTGAAAAGGGCTACAAACATTTTACAAGAGTTGACTCGATTAATATTTATGAATATATTAAGAACATTACATATTGTACCAGCCCACATGCAGGGCAAGAATACARTATTTTACTGTTCACTGGGATTTTATCAGACATGAACACACACCTCTGCTATGCTGCAGAGCTTGATTCTTTAGCCACCCAGGAAGGTCGGTAACAAAGATAAATAAATCTAATACATGCCATGAAATATCTTAGTGTAATTACAGTATGGTCCTTAAAGGTACAGCTTTAACATACTCAGCTTATTCTGGAAACTGGCAGTAGATGCAGATTTTTGTGTGCTGTTTCAAATATTCGAGTCACCTGGCACCCACAGGTGCACTGCACAGCTCTTTCCCAGCTCTCCAGATTCTTACCACGAAGCCTCTGTGTATGAYTATGACAGGAGACATTCTGACTCCCTCATTCCTTCACATCTAGGAAAGGCAAGCTGAAAATATTTAATATTTCAGCAGTGACAGGAGCTTGAAACAGCTAATTCATCTGCAAAGCAGTGTTCAGCCAGACCAGAGTAAAAACATTGTTTGTTTTTGAAGTCTGACCAGGTGCCAGCTGAGTTTCAAAGAAGGAAGAACTGTTCTCCTCCCTCCTCCCAGCTACCCCACACTGCAGATGACAGCACCTGTTTGAAGTTTTACTTTTATTTTAAAAGCTTAAGGCAATGTTTTACTCTCAGATCCACAGGGAGCTGTTCTGCTCTCCTCAATGCACAAAGGCAGGCTGCTGCCCTTCATCTCCTGTCCTGGGAGCCACTGCAGGGAGAACACGTGGGCCACCCAGACTGTTCGTGCYGACCCAGGAGCAAGACGGCGGCAGCCTTGGAGCCTCAGCACACTCTCACCCCACCCTGCTTTGATCACAAGTGAAAGAGAGGTGGTTTCCAGCAAAAAATCACTGTGGAGTGAAGCACATTGTCACTGAGCAGGGAAAAATAGACTCCTCTGTCCAACAACTCTTTGCCCCTGAGGCTCAGTGATGATGCTGAAGGACACTGTGGTACATCAGTCCTGGGAAAGCTCCAAAGGACAATCCTCCTCTCTGTCACATCTGGTTCAGAGCCTAAAACACACCTTTACCTTGTTATTGCCACTGCCTAGAATCRCATTCTCCCATGGCTCTGGGAGACACTGGGGATTTRTAAACCMAACAACACTTTAGCTTCAAGTTTASAGATCTTCCCAGCTRTCAGCGAGACTGGCAACCACTCTTTACAYGGTGTTGGCACAGACACAACCATGAGAAAGACCCTTGCTCAAATAATACTCTGTGAGCACATAAAAAACCAGATTTTAAGTCATGTGTATGTGCAGAAGTTTCAGTTAAATGCACGTCACTGCTCCAGATTTGTTTTTTCCTCAAATCATCAGTGCCTGGGTGTCAGGGTGGGGTCATTGCATGGTGCTGKACCAAGATGATCTGACAGCACTCACATGTGGCTGCACACAGAACACGGAAATAGAGATTGTTCTAAACCTGATTGCACAGATAGAGGAGAACACAGAGGAGAAGTGGTCTCACAGAAGACCAAAAGGAAGGACTGCAGAACTCTGGAAGTTCTATCCAGATCACATTTTAGTAGCCCAAAGGCATAAAAATATTTTTYKTTTCCACTTTTGGATAAATATTTTTGGTTTATCCAAAACTAGAGGTTATCTACATTTGATTCCAGAAAAAAAAAATCTATTAGAACTCTTCATTTTTACTTAATTGGTTTTACTTCTGGAAAAAAACAGATATATACAAGTTTCTTATCAAAAAATAAAAAAAAAGGAAAAAAAAGAGGATGATTAAATGTATTCTGCCACATTATACATTTTATGCAGTAACAGAAGACAATATTTTAACAGCACTGYTTTTGAATCACTCCAGAGCATTCAGCAGGAGTCAATTTATACTGCAAGAGAATAATGATGTACCTCAACTCATTTTAATTTCAATAATTGAATGAGAAATAGGAAAGCCTATTGAAAGGACTGTATTCTGGTCAAAGACTAATGAGAAAATAGTTTTGAGTCTCTGAGTCAGCGGGTGTCATGGTAACAATGCATTATCAAAATCTGATTAGTATGCCCAGCAGCTTTATAAATGATAACATGCTCTTCTAATTGTATTTCCCTTTCTTCCCCCATGCTAAGTTTTATATTCACAACAGGTAAGAAGCAAAGGCAGCATTCTGTTTATCTGCAAGTTTAAACCATGTCCAGCACTCACAACTCTGAAATCTGTCACTCARTAATAGACAAATGYTCCTACCMCCTTAAAACAAGAGGCTGAGCCTTCCATTTCTCTCCTCCGGTATGATATGCAATTATTTATGTTAMATATTATCTTCTTCTTTTAAATGTAATTATTTCTAAGGACACAGATGTGAAAAAGAGAGCACTATGATACACAAGCATCGTAAGAAAAAGCCCTTTTTTCACAGGAGAAAGTGATGCAAGCAGAGAGTAAGTGCATGYTCAATTCATCCCGGAAAATGTGACTCCTTATTCTCGAGATTTTGAAAAAAAAGAGGGGATTTTCTTGTGTTTAGAGGATTGTGTGTGCCTTTGCTAGCTCATTACAAACTCAGAAATCAGGAGGAACCATGAAATTAAATAGGATACATTTCCTCCTCATGAAGAAGGGAGCTAATATTGCTTCATAAAATAAACACAATGAAAATACAAGGTTGAAGGCTTAATAATGCTCCTTTTATAACCGAGCCTCAGGTGAATAGCCTGGCAGACCTTTATTATATTAACAGTAAAGAACTCTATTTAAACTGCTGCCTCACAAATCTGATGCAAAGTAATTTCAACATATAGAAACTCAGCCTTATCACATGGATTTTAGTTTCGAGAGTAAAATGGTGYCCTATTTTTCAACAGAACGACCAAAAAATCTAATTCATGTTTGCCCTATTTCCGTGACCCTTGTAACTTAAATATTTAATTTTTATTTTCAGTGCTCACTTTCATTTATTAATTCAGCTTCAAATCCATATGATGAAAGAGCAGGAGAGCTCATATTCTTATTCTCTAGGTAAATTCCAATATTCTTAGTCATATGACAAATAATGCCTAATACAAGAAATCAACTTTTCAGTATTATTAATAATSGGACTGTGTTTGCCATAGTGCACGAACAGGGAGAAAATTAATACAGCAAGACCTAAAAAGCTTATTACTCCTTGTTATGTGCACAGGCACAGAGTTCAAGATGTACAAAATATTAACAGCAATCAATCTTAAGTCAACACTGAAAGTCAGAGGAACATTTTACCTCCACGTTTGGGAATTCTGCAGAGAGCATGGGGCCCCCTGAGAACAGAGAGGCAGCAAAGCAGGGCAGAGAATGCAGGGGCTCCAAAAGGGACCATGGCCACTTCAGGGACTCTGGGCACTGACCTGGGCCTGAAGCAGCAGCCTGAGAGCCARTCTGTGTGACCTTCCCCTGTCAGGAGGATGTTTCCATCAGGGAAGGCCCACGTCTTCCACAGGCGGTCATCACCACCAGTGAGCACGATGTCTTGCCGGGGGTGTAAAGCCAAGCTGCAGGAGAAAAGAAAGRCAGGTTATGTTCTGCACCAGATCCATTTTATAGTGAATACATAAGATCTGTTGGGCAACAGCCCATGAGTGTGAGCACTGGTGCTTTCTGAGCTCGTGAGAATTCAAAATATGYGCTGTGGAGATGAGCTGCTTCTGCTGCTTCAGAAAACAGACCAGGACTGAWTTCTGTGAAACCAGAATTGTTTTCACACTCTCTTGAAGTTCCAGTTAGCACCTAAAAAATGATTTGAAATATTTTGTTAGTTTATGTTCTAACAAACATGCAACAGATTAACAAGCTRCACCATGATTAAATTTCCCACTTATCCAAAATAATTTCAAAAAACACCAGTGTCTGCCTGTCTCCACTTGTGCCCACAGGTGCAAAGTCTCCTACCACTGAGAAATAACTCAAATGATAATTACAGTCCAGGAGCTGCAGTCGTTGCCAGCACTTCAGAGCTCATTCACTGGGTCTWGGTCAGAAAATCCGCTTCAATTCTGCACTCAAATGTGTTCCATGTTTTCATTTTTTAATATGTAGCACGCTGCGATGTAATGGAAATCATACACTTAACACACCCCTATCCTGAAAACTCAGTTTATTTTTGATTTAGCAACTGCAGTGCAGCTTGAAATGGATCCAGGGAAGAAAATCAATCTGTTGGAAAGATAACAAGTAGTGTATTTTATATGGATTTGGTTATTTGATTTAGATCATTGTAATGCCTCACCATTTGTTGAACATCAAAAAGTTCTAGTAGTCGACTTTAGTCCCAGGAGTGGATTATTTAGAGAGATTAAATCTGGAGTTCAGAATCAAAATGCAATAATGGGGAGAGGAATCACAACCTGTGTGTGCACCTATTTCAGCTGTGCATCAGAGCCGACAGCTTGGAGAGAAAAACGCTTATTAAAGCAGAATGAGAGGAGAGAGAGACAATGCTAAGCACCCAAATGGGAAGAAAAGAGAGGGCTTAGAAGGCACACTGTCATAAAAATCTCTTTTTTTATTAATACCTTTCTCCTGCACTCAAATTATTTCATAAAATTCCTAAACCAGAACCACAGCATCTACTACACTGGGAAAAATAATTCCCTCTATCAAATCCATGCTGAAAATATATTTATGTCAACTAGAATTTCATCAGAAAATATCTATTTTTGCAGYTTAATGCCCAGCCTAGAAAGATTCCTACAGACTCATCAGCTGAATCCATCTGCTCAARTGAGGAGCCTGGGATTTACTCATTCTCTAGTTTCTAAAAAAAAAATAAAAATTTCTATCTTTTCCAAAAGAGGATAAACTTCCTTTGCATTTATAGGAAAAAAAGAGAAGGAGGGAATGATGCTCTTTTAAATTCTCCAGAGATGCACGGAGTGCAGTTGTATCACTTAGATTGGCCACAACAGATACCTCGAAGAGCAAGGGGGAAATAGAGATAAAAGRAGAGAATTAAAGGCTGAGAGAAGGCACCAGTGGCCTGCAAATTACAGGATRAGAGAAGCTGTCCCAGAATCCCTCTACTATGGAGACCTCTGGAAGCACCAACAACCCCACTGCTGCTATCTGCACACAAATGCAGCTGACATTTTTCTCTTAACCTGCTGCAGATACTTCAGATCTTCCCCATTTTCCCCCTCCAGATATTTCTGCTCTTAGTGGGGCTGTTGTGAACATTTCCATCGGCTCTCTTACATTCTTCCTAAAGATCTATCTGCCTATTCACTTCCCAAGGTGCCACAGCCTTAGATCACCTTCAGTTCACCTTTCCTGCAGAGAAAATGAAACCTTGGTGGTTTCCTCTAGACCCTGCCTCTCCTAATGAACAGCCCTTATGCCCTGGCCAGGCTGCAGCTGTGCTCTCAGCCATCCTGCCTCAGCTCCCAGGAACATCTTGCCGACCCTCAACCCTCCAAACACACTTCCAGTCCAACTTCTGAAATACTCAAACTTCTGCAGTGACCAGACATTCCTGTGGAGCTTTGAGAAAATCCATAAAATTAATTTTATATGGAAGAAAATATCTTGCCCTCCGTAGGAAGACTGCAAATTTGTTTTTCACAGTCTTTCCTTCTAATTGCAGAGCTTTTGTAAAATGCTGYTGCTGTCCAATGTTTCTCTTCCTCCATGCCATTTTTACAGGCACACAGTGAACACCATTTAATTAACAGCAAATTTGCGACACGACTGCTGTTGAGCTGCTTCTGAGAAAGGGAAGCCCATTCATCCAAAAGGCATTCTATRTGCAACATTAATTAGGCACCCTTGTCTTCATTTCTGGCAATCCAGCATTGTATAGATTTTTGCTTCATCTCTGTTCACAGGGTCTAATTATTTCCAGCACAGAAGACTTTGGGTGGATTGGAATGGAAATCAATAATGGAACATGTGTGATAGGAGCATTAGTTTTCTCCTCCTCCTCCTTTGGGATAAAGTGGGATCAGTGGAGAYTCAGCCAAGGAAAAAAACAAACCCAACAAAAAACCCTCTCGGAGATTTGCTGCTGTTGAGTATATAAATACCCTTGTTTACACAACTCACTCTGGCATTATAAGACATTCTCATCTCTTCAGCACTTGCCATGGTAGATATATAGTACTCCCAGTAATTTGCTTTCAAAACAATCATCGATTATTTTAATTTATTTTGACTGAGCCATAAATAAAAATACAGTATCTTCAGATGCAAAATACTTTCAGTCTCAGCATGTTCTACATTTGGCCATTTCACAYACATAAAACCAACCTTCAGGTCAAAAAATGCTGCACCCAAAGCTGCTGGGGGAACCTCAGCTGAGTGTTTAAAACAACCACRAATTTGAGGGAGGGTAGATCTCAGATCCCGGTGGAGGAAAACYTCCTGGTGACAGGGTTTCCAAAACACTGTGTGCCATGATCAGCCTGTTCTCTGAGTGCTCAGCACACCCTCAAGTATTACCCAAGTACTTTGTTTTTTKCATGGTTAGGAGAAGGGACTGGTCATTCCACACACAAAACAGACAGTGCTTATACATGAAATAATAACCTAACCTAATTGTCTCAAAAATTAGGCACTCAGAGAATGAGAAATATAAAATTAATGATTGACTTAATCTCAGAAGTGACTTACCCAGCCTCACCCAATTGCTCTGTGGCAGAAACAAGAACAAAATCCAGTTTTCTATGACTTCCCATATAGGAGTTATACAGAAAAGTATGTTCTCAATATAGACAGCTTTCAGCTGCCAGTTTCTCATACAGCATTGTACTGAATACTGCTTGTGATACATAATTTTTAGAACTTCATGATTTGATCAAATTTATTTGCATTCCCGGGTACTGGCAAARAGATTTGTTGTTAATGCCAGTAGCTGCTTCCAGACCAGAAAACTCTTCTGCTGCATTTCTTGCTCCGAAATATGAAAGCAGCAGAGTTCCTCCAAGATTACAAAAAAAACCCAAATGCATTTTTCCTAGTGACAGAAATATTTTAGCCAACACTTTCTTACACAAAAAAAACAAAAACCCTTGCTTACCGTACCTAGCACAGGAAATTTTGGGYTGAGCAATTACATTGGGGTGAAGTTACAACTGGCTGAAAACCTCAGTTTTATAGTGGAAACTGTTGGGAAATTGCTGATATTTCTTTCTCTGCCATGAGGGCGCGTTTTGGAGGCAAGGACACGACATGCACTGAATTCCAGAGGACATATACTGGTTACAGCCCCAGACAAGAACTAATATATATAAATACGAGGCCATCAGCAGCCCTACTGAAATCAGTGATATTGTTCACATWCTTRATTATATTGCTGGACTGYGCCCTAAAAATCTACAGAGTTTGTRAAAGCCAAAATTTCATTCCAGGCCTGATTTTGCTGCACATGAGCCAGTTGTGCTGAGACAAAGGGCAATCTAACTAAAGCATTAGGAACAGTTTCTGTGGCGATGGATAGGCGAACTGCACAACCCAACAGTGTTTTTCTGCCACCAAGGTGCTCCCAACATTTCTGAGCTGCCACACATCCAGGGCCYGGAACAGCTGCTGGGTGTGGGTGGAATTGAAATTAATAATTTTTAGCTCCTATTCTTCATGTATCTGTAGCTTTGGTGTGCAGTTCTAGGCTTCATAAAGTGCTAAAATCCTCTGTTCCCAKTGTTTTAGTGAAAACATTGCTYTCAGTTGGAAAATCCAAGGACACTTCGCTGCCTCAGAGCCCCAAAATATGTAAACATAGTGAATTGCAGGGAGCAAGCTTGGGATGGTTGACATCATCACCTGAARGTGTAAACWGGAGAATTGTGATCTGATATGTTAATAAGACAGAACTTACAAAGGTGAAGATCTTGTGACTCGGGGTCCATTTTTGAGTGCAGCCTCACGAGCAGGCTTTGTCTGCCCTGAATGCACTGAAGGCCTTCATTAAATTTGTCTGCTTTTTATTCTCCTAACTTTGTCTGGCCTCTGTTTCAGGCATCATTTAGGCACTGCTGCCTGACCCCACGCCCCAAGGATCTCACCACAAACGGGGCTGGCCCAAACAATCCCCACAGAGAGAGGAGCCGATCAAGGGAAGGCCATTTTCACCTCACCCCGCACTGAGGGGCAGACAAAGAAATTCCATTGCTTCCGGAGCAGAAAGGGAGTGACAGAAAACACCRAGGTGACCTCTTTCTGCAGCACATCCCTGATTTTCCTCCTGACCTACACGTGGTGGGTGAGGATGAGGCAAATCAAAGTGAACAGCAGCATTCCGAGGGCAGCAGGGGCAGCTCTGGCCACTGCCTCACAGCCCATGGAGCCCTCAGCCCCACYGAGAGGCCTCGGGGCAGACGGACCCAAGAAAGGGGAAAAACTTCCCGGTTTTACAGACAAATGCCCTCAGCCAGGACTAACCTGCCAATGAATTAAAACTAAACGCATCACAAGAGTCTAATCAATAATTTTGCTTGCTATTGATGCCTTATTAGGCTGAGCAGAACTGAGGCTAGACAAAAAGAAGGGAATAAAAAGCAGT